GTGAACAGCATATTGTTTCACTACTGAGCTTATAATTTACTATATCTTTCTTATTATTATTTATTGCTGATGTTTCCCTTCTTTTATAGTGTCGACTTAGTTTGGCATTCCCATCCTCAGCCACCTTTAAACTCATCGAGGGTAAGAGGACTGCTCAGTTTTCTGTTAAAGCTGTTTTCTTAGAAAATACATGTAGGTCCTTGCATTTAATTTGTGCATTCATGAACCACTTTTATTATCATGTATGATATAGATACATGTAGGACCCTGCACACACTCTGATTGGTCAAAAACCCATTTTTTATCAGAGTGTAAAACATAAAAAAGTGCATTTTTTGCCACATTTCCTCTATTATTATAAAGCAAATGAAGAAGCCTAAGCTGTGTATTACACTGTGATAAAATACTTCCGACATTTGAGAACACTCGTGTTTTCAAATGCCTGTCGTCTTTTATCACAGTGTAATACACAGCTTGGGCTTCTTTATTTGTTTAATAAAACTTACATGTAATGATATACCGAGTGGTAGCAATTTATAAATTGATATCCCACATACTGAAAAATATTTCACTCATTCACCGTGCTTGCTCATGAAATATTTTTCAACACTCGAGAGAAATTTTGTATCTCCATGCATGCACAGCCATGTAATATCCTCTATACATTTAATAGCAACAACAACATCATACATGAATTTTTTGTTATGGAAAACCAACAGAAGTTAAAATATTATCAATAACAGTAAGCCTTGTACAGCATTAAACTAACCTACATTGTCTTTGGGGTCTTTCCATGTGTCAGTGCATACATGTACACCATGAGAAACCTTGACAAGATCAATTTGTCCCGTAATATTACCTGAATTGTGTTACAAGGTACATATACCTGTATGTGTTACTTTTAGACAAGATACGATGCAGTAAATTGTTGGGTTATTTAATGACGTATTTATTGCATTTTTTCAGGTTCTGGACCTGTCCATTTGACTGGCTCTGTTTACCAAGGTAAGACTGGTTTTAAGGCACTGTTGTTTAGTGAAGACGTATACACATGTATACATGTACAGTACATGTAAAAGTTGCATTTTGTGTTTACCTATCAACTGTCATGCAGTTGCTGTACAGTCTTTCATGATGATGCTTCTACCATTTTATTCTTAACATTACTATTTGCAGAACTATATTTATTAGATGATGATGATGAAGAGAGTGATGAAGGTATGCATTAAACTAAACAAATTAATATCTGGTTTGTAATTAAAATCACATGAAACGTTTGCTTAAACAAATAGCTTCTGAGACTTGTTCTGTAGTTCTGGTTGGAGACATGAGTACCAACATGGAGTTGGAGAACCTATGCTGTATTGTTTTGCCTAATTTGAGAACAGCAGACATTTCGTTTGTGTGTAGAACATGTACATATATGTAGTAGAGCAAACTATACATAGATATTAATTGATAATGTTGAAAAGTAAAACAGACAAAAAACAAACAAACAAACAAACAAACAGGCAGCAGTTCTGGTTTATAATCTCCTTGGGTAAATTACTTTTCGAATGAACAAAATGCTACATGTACTTGGTTCTCTTCGAAGTTAATCTGTTCATTAATGTCATTGAAGGTAGCTACACACAGGTACTTGTCCCAGACTTTTTTTCTGTTTAGTTTAGACTCAAATGGCTGTGAAATACATGTTGCATGTATTTACTGTACCCTGAGAGAGAACAAAAGTTATACAATGTTGCTGTAACTGTTTAAAAGCTGCTGTAGTAATATTCGTACAGATGTTCTGAACATACATGTATTAGTGCAGAGTTTTCAGTGAGCGATTAACAGTTGTATCAATTTTGCTATTATAGATGGTGATGAATTAGTGAAATCAGAGGCTAAAGTTGGTTCAAAGGTACATTTTACAGGAATATAATCATACAGTAACTAACTCGGCTCTGTGCATCCTATTGGTTATGAGCTCTGATTCATGAATAGTAGTGATAAATGCACAGTTTTTGTTCTCAGTAGGTCTTGTATGTGTTATGTCAAATGCTCAAAATTCACTCCCAGGCCTCATTTGCAAGCGTGGAATTTTCTCAAGCTTAAAGCACCTTCATGTTGTTTTCATATGAGTATTCTTTTTCTCTTTGCTACTTAGAAACCATAGGGAAAAAATAATAATTAAAAGATCTTTACAAGTCATAGCGAAAGCATGCGAATGTGCTGTTTGACTTTGGTTGTAATTGACTGGTATGGCTTGTCAAGAGTGTTGTATGCCATATTTCATAATAAGCACTTGACTGCACTTTGTACTTCATTACATTTCTACATTGTAGACAAATGCAAAGTGAAGCCTGGAGAACTGGACATCTCATTAACATAATAGGCTTTGAGAAGTGATGGACAATCTTTATTATTTTATTATTTTTATCTGCCATGGGAAGAAATTGAGGGGTGCCCTTTTGTATAGTTACATCTAATGTACATTTGTTGTGTCGCTATTGTTCATGATCACTAACAAGGCAAGCTTGTTTACTTGTAGAAAAGACCTCTTGCATCCGAGACTCCCAAGGGACCACCAAAGAAGCTTGCTCGTGTTGAAGTTGGTAAGAATTTGTTTGAACCCTTGTACAGTATTGTGATGCCATAAGGAATGATTAGATGCAATGTTCATTGTAAGCGGCTTTGTGCTACAACATTCAGGGCTCCAGCCTTGCTTTCAAGGTGTTCTTTCTTCACATATACAGCAGCTTTTGTGATCATGGACAGTAGTCAGCTTCTCCAGTTTTTCACTTGCGGATTGCGACAATTGTTTTGCAAATAATAAATCACAGTTGTTTTATTGTCCATAACAAAACAATCCTGCACAATTGATTTTTTTTTCTGGCACAATTTGGCCCCAAAATCCAGCACAATATGATTTTTTCCCGCACTCTTGTCAGAAGCCCAGTCAGATTAACACAACAGGCCTCATGTGTACAAAGTGTAGTAGATCTAGATAACCTTATTTACTACAAAAAAAAGCTATCCAAAGGTCAAGTGTGGATAAAAGAAGCTGTGATCTCAGCTGGATAGTGATTAACCCTGGGATAGCAGTATCCAGTCTTTGAGCAAATTTGCCCAGTAGTTCTGGGACACTAGGCTAGGGGAAAATGTACATGTACCTCTCAGATTAAGATTATACATGTACATGTACAAGGTCTATTGCCATGTACAGGTATCAGGCAGCATCATGCCATGCTAGTTCAAGAAACATCTAACAACGTATTCCTTGCAGCTCTAGAGTACAACCAATACTGTGGAATGTTAATAGAGTGTGGTATTATAGTGATTGTGCTCCTTTATTTGAACAAGTTACATGAAGTTAGTGGCAAGATGCACGTAATTCACCTACACTGTAGACCATATTTTTTTTTTTTAGGTGAAGAGGAGAGTGAAGAAGATGA